CACAGGGCAGAGTACAGCAGCAGAGTCGTGTGTGCTGTCTCTGCCAGGCCAATGGTGCCATCATGGTTCCCAGGCCCGGTGGCCGCAGCTCCCACCCTCATGGCACTGCGGTCCTGCGCAGAGGGATGCCCGACAGCTCCAGTGCTATCGCAGGAAAACCACTCCACACCTTTCCATCCAGGTGGGCACAGCCTGTACTTGTGGCTGCTGGGCAGGCAGGTCTCTGCACAACGCTCTTTTTGGCAGAGGGAAAGTGAGGAGCTGAGATTCAGCAACATGCCAGGGGTCAGGCAGCAAAACAAGATGCAGGCAGGACTGAACCCGAGCCGGCTGGCTGCCTCTAACCACCAGACAACATCCTCCTGCCAGCGTTGCTTTAACAGCTTGTGGTGGGCAGCCAACAAGCAGAACAGAGATAAGGGGACGGGGGAAGTGAGGAATGCATTGCATTTTTCCTGAGCCACCATGGGAATAGGCTATTCCGACCATGGATAGCAGGGAGGCTGTCCAACATGAAAAGTAGAAGTAAACAATCAAGAAGAAGAAGAAGAAGACAACAGCGAGGAAAATCAGGGTGGACAAGAGGTGACTATGAGCACGGGGGGAAGACAAGCAGAGGAACAAATGGAAGAAGGAAAACCAGACTGAGAGGTAGGAAAGGAAAAGGAAGAGACAATTGGATGCCAAGAGGACAAACCTGCTGGGGCTGGAACTCCGATGAGCACCAGAGCTGGAAGGATGCGAGAGGGGTACCAAGGCTCCCAGGCTCTGCACACACAAGAGTTAACCAGCAGATTGCAGCTCTTTTATTGGTTTAAAACTCACTTAAGAAGAAAGATAAACATAGATCATTTCTCAGGTGACAGGCAGAAGAGGAGAGGAGGCTCTTTTTGCCTCAGTTCAGCCTAAGGGGGGAGAAAAGAAATTGCTGGCATTTCTGGTTTGCCGTAGGGACAGCGGGACGTCTCCGGGGGAGCTGCCAGCATTCGACTTCTTCACTCCAACAGCAGAAGGTGGCGAGCTTCAAGTAAAGAGTGCTTTTGTGTCACACACCTTCGTGCTATTTAAGTTTTGGAGCTAGATTAGCATCACAGGCCAGCAGAAAGCAGAGCTTTAATAAATCAGACTCAAAATCCTTCCTTGCCTCAGTTACCAGCTTTTGCCTCATTTGCAGCTCAAACTGCCTTGGTGCCCCTGTGAGCCACAGCATGAACCGTCCAGCAAAGAGGAGGAGAAAGAAATTAGCAAACCTAAATAAAACTGGACAGGAGCAGCCCCCAGATTTCTCCCCCAAGCTTGGGAAAGCCTCATACTAACCTACTCCATGCGGTGTTTCTCTCTGGGCACCTCCCGGCATCAAGACACCAGTTTGCAGGAGCAATGGGCTGAGGTGATATGGAACATTCACAGGCCCTAACACTGGGGACTTTGTGGCACTGGCCTTAAAAAAAATAGCCTAGAAAAAGCCTAATAATGAAGTATTTATTTCAGTAAACAACATATGAATGAAAGAAGTGTTTTCTCAATACTTCACTTTTTCCCTGCCTTCTCTCCCTTCCTCCAGCAATTTTTTTTTAATAAGTAGAACTAACGAGGCTTCACTCACTGATGGCTGAGCTCGGGAGCAGGACCGCGCTCTGCTTGCCCGGTGCAGCACATAAACACGTGCTGTGTGAATAAAGCCTACCTTGTGCCCAGCAAGAAACACGACCCACAAGTGCGTTCCACCCGTGCTCTGGTGGGCACACGGACCATGAGACCAGCGACAGGAGCATCCCTGTGCTTTTGGGTAGGTAGTGTGGGACATTCAGCGCTTTATCTATTGTGCCAGTAAATAGCTGCATCTCCTGGCCCAAAGAAATGCCAGCACCCAGCAACCCTCCCTGCAGGGCTTCGAGGTGTTGCCTGGGAAAAGGAGAAGGGCCAAGGGGAGATGAAGGGATCTATTGTCCCCATCCTACCTGGCAGTGCTTAGCACAGGGGACACGGTGTCATGAAGACACTGTGGTGCTGCACAGCTCCTTCTCTTCTTCCTCAGCTCCATCCAGCCCTAACTGAGCACCTGAACAACCAGGAATGCTGGAAAACTGGCTCAGCTTGCTCTGTGTGGGAATGAGAGGTAAGGATGCTTTCCCCTATAGCAGAGACATGAGGGGTTGGAGTTTGGTAGGAATTTCAGGAAGAAAATACTAATCCCTCCACCAGACTGACACCCATCTTTCCCAAGCAACAGGCACTGATGATGTGCTTATCATCTGTACCTCCTCCTTGGCAACAGGGAACAGTGGGTTCAGGAGCCTTTCCTTGCCTTCAGGACTTGGAATTAAGATGGGCAGGATTCTCAGAAGCCACTGATTTGGGAAAACATGGTCCACTGCTTTTCCATCCCCCTCCTACTTGCATGGGATGAGCTGAACCTCCCATTATACACAGTGTGGATGTTCACCCTCTGCACAGAGGCAGGTAAAAAGACACATACATATGTGATGCATGTAGATATTTGCTCTGGAAGCCAAATTAGCATCTGTAGATTAGCAAGGGCATGAGCCATGCTCTCCCTTGGCCACAGCACCCAGCAGCCTTGCCTGCAGCCCAGGACCTCCCATGCAAGGCATGGGACAAGCAGCGACCTGCAGCCCTTCTCCTGTGTGCAGCATGATGGTGTGGAGTGACTAACCAAGGATGCTGATCCTGCTGTGATGATCACAGATCCCTGAAGACATAGAGGAGATGCAAAGAAATGATGTTTCACACCAGGGAAAAAGCCAGGTATCCCCATTGCAGGACGGACTTCAGAAGTAGGCTGGTGCTTGCATGAGAAAAGCCTTCAAGTGTCTCCCTGAGGACAAGCATGCATGTGTGGACCAGGCACATGCACCTTTGGCATGCGTGAAAACCTGCCTGCAGTGTGCCCGTCCTGCCAGGGAGGCAGCGCTCCGTGCTTCGTGGGCAGGTGCCCCCAGTTGCTGCTTGGAAACTGAGCTGTGCACATGTAAAAGCAAATTAAATTCCTGCACTGCAACAAAAGAGCCAGCTCCTGGGTTGTCTGCTTTATGATGGCAACAGGGAGAGGGTTAACAAGCACACTGAGATGGTTGGGGAGCAGGCGGTGGGCATGGTCCTCACCCCCTTGCTGCCTGCCTGGCTCCTTGCCACTGCACCTCCCCCGGTCACCACCGAGTGCCAGTGAGCCCCAGGACCCAGGTCCCAGCACCTCAGCCCACCCAAGCCTGGCTGCCAGACTGGACATTTGATCCAGCTCAAGATGTCTCCAGCCATGGATAAAACCCCTGACCTCAGGGCAATTGCCCTTCCCCTGGCCAGACCGGCCGTACCCATGTCCCTGCAGGAGAGGCGACAGTAATTCCTTCTCTTTCAGGCCTCACACTTTCCAGCCTCAATCTCCAACGCGATGGCATGTGGCAACCTGAAGGCAAAGAGCTCACCAAGAGCTCATTTCCAAGCTTGCTTACAAAAACCCCATAAAATAACATCATCTACCACTGCTGCAGAGTCACTGCTGTACATGGTGCTTTGCAAAATAATACAAGACAGATGGTTTCCCCCAGGAAAATGCTACAGAGCGAGTGAAAATGTACCACAAATATACCTTGACACCACAGGGCTAAAATGGGATCCGGGGGTTTCAAAGAGACATTTAAAGGGAGAAAAGAGATTTTTCTGTCTTCTCTTGCTTCTTTATTATGAGTAAGAGAAACTCCGATTGTTTTTAATTAGTTCTTTGCTTGTTTTCCTATTTGGTATATTACAAATTCACATACTTGTCTATTTGGAAGATTCATAGTAATTGCAGAACAGCTTTCATGATGACATCGTTTTAGCAAAGGAAGAAAGTTGTGCAACTGGAGAAGAAAGCAGTCTGTCACCAAATAGCTTAAATTCTTTGTCTGGTCTCATTAATACCTAGTTAGCTTTGATGCCTAACTAACCTCACAGATCGAGGAAGTCTTTGAGGAGGACTCCACAACCTCACACTGAAGTGTTAGAACATACAATAAATGCCAGAAAGATCTCAAAAAAAAAAAAAAAAAAAAAAAGGCAGGGAAAATGAAAACCAAACTCAACATTCTTGCAATTTCTAAGCGCTTCTTTTTTTTTTTACCAAAAAAGTTTTACCCTCCTTTATCCATCTAAGGAAGTAGAAAGCAATGTAACTTCTAGTTCTTTTAAATATCCTTAGCAAGTCACCTCTAATGCTGGGAGGGTAGACTGTGATCTGCTTCCAAGGCTATTGCATCAGAGCTTAGAAACCCAGGATAAATTACTCCCTGCTTGAGCAGGGACTGCAGTTTGAGACCTGTGCTCAGCATGAGGGGCCCCACGGGTGGTGCAGCAGAAGCATCAGGGAAGGAGGGAGCACTGCATCCTTCTGGGGTGGGCAAACAGGGCTGCCCTGGAGGGCGGCTTGTGTTGGGGCAGCCCCGTACCCTCACATAACTCACCCCACGCACAGCACCAGCGGGGAGCCCCTGTGGCTCCCGGTGCCACCACACTGGCTGTGGCCATCCCGCCGTGGCTCTTGGCTCTGTTTTATCCAGTGGTGGTGTGTCAGGTGTGCTGTGGCACGTATCCACTGGCAGCTCCTGTAAGGAGGGGTGGGGGGGGTGGGAAGGGGTGAGAAGCAACCAGCGGCAGGGGCTGCCGGAGGTCACACATCTACGTGCCCTGGCCCAGCAGACATGCATATCCATGTTCAACGTGAGCCTTGAAAGAACCCCATTGCCCAGTTCATGGTGTCTCCTTCAGCCCCCGCAAGGAAGGAGCCTCCTGGGGCTCCCCACTGCTCCCTGCGCTGGGGTGAGGGGGCATGTTTTGGCTTGATAACCTGCGGGAGCTTCTGCAGCAGACAGAGGGACTTGAAGGGGTGTTGTTCCACAGGACATTGCTTGGACAGGGACAGAGTGGTAGTGGTGGGGACAGGGGACAGGAGAGAGACTGGAGAGGCGGGAGCTCCTTTCCCCCTGTCCTGCAGCTCTTACCATTCAATGCTCAGAGACCTGGGCCGGAAGGCAGACAGCTCGGCCGAGGCATACTCAGCTTTCCTTCTCTTCTCCTGCTTCTGCTTAACCGACAAGCGGTGAGCAAACCTAGAGAGGCTGCTTTCCGACCTGGGGAAGGGGAGAGGAAAGGTGTTAATGTCACTGAAACACCCGTCTCCCAGCGGCAGGCCCATGGCACAAAGCCAAGTGATACTTGGAGCTGAAAGGAGGGGGCTCCCAGAGGCTCAGCAGCACCGGGACGGGGCAGCACCAGCCTTGGGGGGAAGAAGCAGAGCAGCAGCAGGTTTAGCATCGCCTGGCGAAGACAGGACCAGCACAGGTCCACGGCATGCTGTTAGCCAGACCGAAGCTGTGAGCCTGGCAGGCTGAGTTAGTGCCAGGTCCTGCTCCCTGCTGCAGCAAAATCACCTCCCTCTTGTGTGTGCTCCTGCCCAAACACCAGCCAGTGATGGCCAACACTGGAGAAATTCCGGCTGCTTCTGCTTCTTGCAGTGCCTGACTCAGAGGGGTCAGGCAGCCAGAGAAGCATCCACAGAGAGAATCAAAGCAGACCTCTGCCACTGCCACACGCCTCTTCAGAGAAAGCACAGAGCCTGTGGCCTCCCAGCTGGGGCTCTCAAACACCAGGACAACTTTCCTGATGAGGGCTGACATGGAAATCAACCTGGATCAGCGATGTTTCGGAGGAGGAAAGAGAAATGGGTGCAGCTGAAAGACCCGTTTGCGGTGGCAAAGCCCGTTCCCGCTGGGCAGGATGCTCCAGCATCTCTCCCAGTCCCTAGGACCTGGGAGAAAATCACCCCCAGGCTCCGGGGTCATGCTGCACACCTGCCTCTGCCCTCGCTCGCCAGAAGAGAACCGCTGTCTTGAGGCACAACCACACTCTTTCCAAGCCCAGTGGGATGCAGAAAGCTGACACTGAGATTTGCTTGGGAGATGCCTGCCCTGCAGAGCCCCGCAGCCCTCTGCTTTCCTCTGCAGCACACAGAGACCCTGGTGCCTGCTGTGCCAAGGGGCAGCACCCCCAGCTTGCAGCCAAACATGGTGCTACAACCCATTCCTGCTCCCAAGTTCATCAGGAGCTGAGGTGGGAGCAAGGGAGGAGCAGTCTGGGGAGCTGAGACACCCTGACTTGGGCATATGACCAGGCTGGTGGCACCACCACGTGTGCCACCATGGCTACTGCCTCTCCTCTTCCTTCAGTCCTGTGCCAGCATGACCTGCTCCCTCTGCTCAGCCAGTCCTGGGCTGAGCAGGAAAAGAGACAGGAGGTCTTTGAGAGGAGGGACAGATCTCGGGGGAGCCTTTGAACCTACACACATTGCTAAAGCCAATCCTCCTCTCCTCTCGAGTCCTGACCAGCTTCAACTAAACAAAATGCCGCCAAAAAAAGAAAGAAAAAAAGAAGGTATTTCTCAGAAATGAGAGCTCCCGGCCTTTCCTCACAGTAATTAAGCCAACCACGACCAGCTAACAGTTTTTTTCCCGATACATTTTAAACACAGACATCTTCAATTCATTAACTCTGGTTATTGATTTATTTTTCAGCTTATGAATTGCTGTTGCCGGGGACAGGGTGGAGACAGCTTTCTGGAGAAGGCTCTCGTCTCTCCAATCACCGCCGGGAAAGAGACGCTTAGACCTTCCAGGGTCATTCTTTACATTCTTGAGAAGAAATACTACTTTGATGTAAAGGATGAGGTTTGCCTTAAAAGAAACCCAACAAGAAACCCAAACCCCAGCTTTCCCCCACTCGCAGCCAGAGGAAGAGGCGTTCGAAGAGGAGTGATCCAAGGCGCCTTGTGAAAGCCCCTTGACCAGAGCCCTGCACTGACACCGTCCCTGCCGCCTCGCCTCTCCTTTGATCTGGTGTCAAAGCTCAGCACTTGAGTAAGATCTCAATTTAGGGAGGCCTGGGCACTGACTGCTGATGCTCTGCAGCAGCACCCGATGCAGTGTGGACCTTGGGGTGAGCAGGGCCCGGGGGTGACCCAGGGTTGGGACTGGGTGGTGGGCAAGGGTGCTGCACTTCCTCAGTAGCACCGGACTGTTCCCACTGCAATGGTCCTAACGCTGCCCAGATTTCCAGTTCCCCAGGACGCTACCCTGCAGGGGTGAGGGCTGCATGCCCAGCTGCCAGGACGCTGGGGATGTTGATCTCATGAGATCTGGGGACTCCCTGGAGAACACTGCCTCTTCCCCACCATGCTCCCTGCACCATCACAGCCACCCTTCCCAAACTGGTCCCAGCATGGATGTGGGGGTGTGAAATCCCAAATCACCTGCACAGATGCAGGAAGGCAGCCACCCACCACGACAAACAAGTGTCTCTGTCATGCTGGTATGTGCCTCTTGTGATCAACACCACCGGGACAATTACACACCCATGAGGTTTACTGGATGCATCCACCTGCCCCAAGCAAGGAAGAAGCAGCCACTGGATAGAGCCAACAGCATCTGCCAAGAACAGCTGGCAGGGGAAAACAGGGTGACTTGCCAAGAGGACTCAGAATGAAGGAATGTTAGTCCCTGGGGGCAGGGTGTGCTGGTGGGGCTGAAGAAACCACCTGGGTGTTTGGGGACATGTGGCCTCACCGTGACTCCCCCTGCAGCATGGCATCGCAGGGGAAGGTGCAGGGCGACGCTCCCTGGCTCAGGGCAGGTGCTGCCTGGATCTGCTCAATCCACATACAAGCCACATACAAGCCAGAAGGTGACAAGAATCTTGAGATGTTTGGTGCTGCTTTTATCCCCCAGACCAACCTTCCAGCCTACTGGTCAGCCAGCAGGCTCACCCACCACCTCCAACGGCTCACAGCCAGGTGAAAGGAGATGGCTGCGACCACTCTAATGGGCCAGTACCTCCCCCTTGAGAGCTGTCAGCAACTCATCCAGTGCTCAGCAAAGAACCAGCCTCCTCTCACCTCCACCAGACCCAAAAGCTCCAGCAGAAGCATCACTAATTAGAAAGCCAGGAGCACGTTACAGTATCATCTGGCTATTTATACAGTGCTGCTTTACATAAACTGTACTGCAGAAGAGGGAATGAATCATACCTGCTCTTCCATGGCTGCACACAGGCAAATGCAGCCCGATGCCAGCAGCCTGCTCTGCCCCACTCCCCTCACCCCACCGAGGCCCAGCTACTGAATCAGCTTCTCTGAGCTCCTCATGCTGGGGCTGCTCTGAACCCCCGGGATTGGGATGCTCCCAGGTTCAGGATAATCCTGCAGGGCCACTGGGCATTGTGCTGGGATACGTGCTCTGTGGGTGGCAGCAGCAGTGAGCTTCTAACATGGGAGGGGGATACTGCTGGGACCACACTTTTACTTCCCAAGTGCCTTCCAAACATGAATAGATGCCCCTGTCCCTTGTGAAAGGGTTCTTAAGGTGGAGGAAGGGAAACTGAGGCACAGAGAGGCCATGTGATTGAGGCGGGTTCCCTATGGCTGTGAGCTTCCGTCCTTTTGTGCACCTCACTGATGGGCAAGATTTTCATGCCTTCTCCCATCAGCACCAGCATACTCGGCACAAATGTTCTGGTCTGGGGAACAGGCAGCCCCAGAGAGCTGCTGCCACTTTCAGCCAGCTTCATCCCAGCCGTGGGATGGGGACAAGGCCAGCATGGGGTCCCCAGCCCTGCTTGCTGCATAGTCCAGCCTGCTCAGGATCTGGGGTGACCTGTCTACCCCACCATAAGAAGCAGCATCTCTGCAGCAGCTCGGCATCAGCGCTGCTGGGGCTTGGTGGACCCAGCCTGCCATGCCAGGACCTGCCAAGGCTCCCTGGAGGTCCCTGCATGCTGCTGAGGAGCTGAGAGGACAGGCGGGGAAAACCATCAATTGAAACATCAACCACAGCGCTGAGAAGAATTGTCTCCTGACAACCAGAGAAGGTTGTTCAGCTACTGTGCTGTATCATAAATCACACCTCTATGACTTGCCATCTGTCAGCCAGATTACACATGTTCAGAGTCCCATGTCAGCGTTTAAGTCAGAACACAGCATCTTTTCCCCAGAAATAATTATTGGCTCTGGAGACTCTTGCAGCAATACCCTTCCTCAGACTTTCCCTCCAAACCTCCCAGCAGAGCAGAGCAGGCGGCACCAGGGAGGCAGGAACGCCGCTGCCAGCAGGGTGTGGGGATGCAAAGCCCGCACGTGACATCTCCCCCATACAACCACCGCTTCATGCGCACGTGGGGGTGGCAGGACCTGGCGTGGCAAACACCCCTCAGCATCACCTACAGCACCCAGCCCTCGCCACAGGCACGCAGTGGGCAGGGGCAGCCAGAAGCAGATGCTGCTGCTGAAGGGAGATGGGGACAGTGCTGTCCCCAGCCTGGTGTGTGCTGATGGCCCCCTGGGGTGCTCAACCAGGATGAGCGGAGGGTGCCCACAGCGGCACTCGGACCCTCGCTGCCAGCACAGCCCAGCCTGGCCAAGGAGGAAGACTCCGGCTCAGCACAGGGCACAGCTCCCACACCAGCTGCGCTGCCCGAATGTGCTGTGTAACACCAGCCTGATGCCCATCCCTTCACCCGTCATGTTTTCTGGGGGTCTGACCCCAGCATGGATGACTGCCAAAGCCCCTGCCTCGCTGAGGCAGTGGGAACATCGGCAGAGCAGAGACACAGCAGGCTGGCAGCCCAGCCCTGTCCTGACTGTGGCTCAGCCAGCTCGCTGAGCCATCGCAGGACACAGCACCCCAGCACAAAAATCCACTCAGCTGCCCTTTTGGATGAGGACAAGGGTCTGAAGCGCCGCCCTCCACCCCCTCGCTGGTCGGGCAGGCGGATGAGCAATGACATTTCCCAAAGCTGACTTAGAACAGAAATACACAGGGACTCAATTCATCCCTCTGGCTTCACCAGCCACGCACAGGCAAGAATCTGGCTGGGGGTTTGCAATGCCTCATCACCGCATCCCCCACACAACGCCACAACTGAAAAGTGATGACAAGCAAAATCCCCATCCCCTCGGCTCTGCGGCCTGCCCTCTCCCCTGCGGTGGTCCTTGGAGGGACATCGCAGGCTGCCTCTGCAAGAAGCAGTGCATTTCAGCAGGCTGCAGCCGTCCGAGTGAGCCCACAGAAGCCTGGGTGCTTGT